GGTAAAGAACAGCTCGCCCAGCTGCAGGCCGTTGATCTTCTTCTCCGCCAACCCGCACACGAAGGCGTCGCAGTCGTTGATCTCGTCGTTGTAGACCTTCGCGATTTGCCGCCACACGAACGGGTTGTCGTTGATCTGGCTCCACTCTGTGTATCTCTCCAGGCCGTAGGCCTCCCGGGCATCGTTGTACGTCGGCAGCCCCATGTCGCGGGCCCTCTGGATGTTCAGGGAGATAAGGTCCATATGGGGGCTGTCCGGCTCCTCCGTGAACAGGAAGTTGCGGATCTCGTCATTGGCCTGCGCGAATGCAGCCGGAGAGTCAGTGCAGTGGCCAAGTATTCTTGTACTCGCTTCACAGCTCCAGAAGTCGCACAATACCAACACGTCGCAAGGGCGACCACAGCCGAATCCGCTGCCACCAACGCAGCAACCGCGACGGTCCCAATTCGCACAGGCGTCTGCACAGGCATCGTTTGCACTCCCTCCCCTCCCCTCTTTTCCATTCCTCCTCTTTTCCTTCCCTCCCCTTCCCATTCGTCCTTTCTGGTTCTGATTTATTCCTTTCTCTACAATATATTCTGTAACGTTTCCCTCCCTGGGATTACAGAGCCGTACCAGTCAGCCGACAGCAGTGCCGCGCCTCTCAGCCACGGGCCGATGTCGTATGTCTCTACCAGTTCGGGGTTAAAGAAGGCGTCGCGAAGCGGCACCAGGACGGTCGAGCCACCAGCGGGCACGCGCCACAACTGGGATGGCACCATGGAGTGGCCGTACCGGTAGGCCACCGTCGAGAAGAAGGCCGTGACGCCCGGGTCGATTTCCTCATCGTACTTGTAGTCACCGGGCGCAGCGGCGCTGCCGATCAGGAGGGGCAGGTACTCGGCTGTAGAGTACAGGTGAAACGATCAGTTCTTGCCCGCTGACACAACAGTGGAATCGGTGGCAGTGGCAAAAGCCACGGAGCAGCGGCGCAGGTTGGGGCAAGCCGCAAGTGAGCGTGAATTGTGGAAGCAAACCGCTTGGCAGGACGTTGACCTCATGGGCACGTTCAAAAGTCTGACGTCAAACGACAGATCAGCGGGTGCAGCGACCCTCAGGTGTACTATCCTCTGCCACTGTTTTTCTGCAATATTTCGAATCGAGCTTTCAATTCCCAGGCACGCTCGCAGTGTCCGCATAACCACCCTGCACACCGCTGCGCACCTTGCTATTAAATGACTGTGAAAGGAACAGAGGGGTTGGGAGAAGGATGGCCAATATCGGGAAGACACACGGGCGAGCGAATGAAAGATACCATTGAAAAAGAGGAACTAGCATCGTGCACTTACTGTACACAATGCTCTGCCAGCACGAGATGACAATCGCTCGGGCCGTCTCGAACAACTGCTTGTCGCCGAAGTCAGGGAAGATGGCCTTCAGCTCCGTGGCCACCTGGTTATGCTCCCGTGCCCACAGTGTGTGCATCGAAAGCAGGATGACCTGCTCATTAGCACGGATGTCCCCTGCCACGAAAAATCTGTCATCTGCGTCGGGTGCGTTGCTGAGCTTAGCGCCCAAAGCATCGGGACCGCTGAGCTTGTTCTTGGGCAAGAAGCCAGCACCGTGCAGCTTGAGGAGGCCGTCCTTGTGCGTCCTCAGAGCGTTGGCGCGAGCGAAGTCCTGGCCGTACACCTGGCGAGCGGGGACTCAACCATCAAGGGATGCTTGCATGGCGCAACTCTTTTTGCTAAAAATGCAACATAAATGGGCAACCTCCAGTGCACGTGTGGAGGTTCGACTGCAAGGTGTGGACGAGCATGCAACAATCTCTAAATGCGACAAGAATAACAAGCACCATGCCAAAGGCATGGATAGGAAACTCTGACTTGTGATTTACTTGCTGTCCTTACCTGCATACACCAGCTGCAATCCTTTGTTAAAAATTGCCGTCGACAAGACTAAGTGGTGATCTTGCATGTTGTAGGGGCTGAAGGGCATGATACATATAAGAACGCGTTTCTGTCCCTCAAAGACACGATGCAAAGGATTCAAACTTTGCCAGCGGAAACATGGGCATCCAACAATCAGCCGTTGGGCCATTCAACTTTGTCGAACCGCACAGCTAACCCACCATTCCCAGGTCGATGTAAGCAGAATGCTTGTTGACGAACTTCACAGGGTTGCCCTCATCGGGGATCTGCACTGAGCGCTTGAACTCGAGCTCCTCCGTTCCTCCGAAGTAGAAGTCACCCTCAGGCACAAAGATGGGGAATTCCTCAACTGCCCGTGTGTCGGTGAATCCTGGCTGCTTGTCTTCGGCAATCTGGCTCTCTGGAGTGAGGTCCAAGTCGTGGTCCAGGAATTGGCCAGTGGTCCAGAACAGGTCAGTGTAGCCAACAGGGTTTGTGGCAACACCATCGTCACCTGGATAGCATAGCAGTGTCAGTGAAAACATGGAGGCGTTGGGTGGGGGTGCCCGGAAGGATGGGCTCAAGATTGGGGCAAGTTTTCTGTATGAGGGGGCTAGCAAGGGTTGAGTGGAAATTACAAAGGAAAAAAGCAACAAATATCAAAAAGTATACAGAAACGCCACATTGCTTGGACAATTCAGATGCGATTCCAGGCATCTATTCTCCATGGCCTGAATCCTTCTGTGTGTGTGCAGTGGTGAGGCCAGGCATTAGCTACCACACCAGCACACCTGGGCCTCCCCTCACCCAGCCATGGATCCTGCCACACTGAGGACCGATGAACTCGAACCCCTCTGAGGGGTCACTGACAACCATGGCATCTTCACCGGCACAGCGGAACTCCACCAGGAGCTCGCAGTCAGATCCACTTGACCACTTAAACCTCACGGTGCCTGAACTCAGCTCCTCCAGGGCCTCCCACTCCAATTTGGCAGTGTCCAAGTTTGAAGACCGGCTTGCGGTGGCTGTGCTAAAGAGGCATGCTTCCCAACTGGTGGGGCCAACAGCGGAGGTGGTGAAGCACTGGCCATCCATGCCAGTGGCAGCATCCTTCAGATATTCAAGCCCAAGACCTGTGCACAGGAAAGGCAACAACTCAAGCAACGATTTAACTCAAGCTGGATAATGGGATTGTGTTGAATGTGATGTCCTTTCACTGCACTGTTTTGCACTTGAAAGCAACAACAGGATACAACTCAGCAAGGGGGTGCATAGAGCTGATCCAGAAGCCTTACTCTCAGCAAAGATTCCATTGCTGACCGCACGGGGGCTGATCTCCTTGTTTCCACCAGGCGATGACACCCCGTCTCCAAAACTGGGGTCATTCTTTGCGAGCCTAAGTAGGGTTTCGCCTGAGGCGCCCCGCCTTGGGTACTTCAGGTTGTTGCAGTCGCCCTCCAGTGTTCGGGAGAACTGCAGCAGTGTGCAGTCTTCCCCAAAGAATGATTCCAGGTTGGAGAGCTGCAACAAAGCAAGGTACCACAAACGTTAGTGCCTGGTCACCCACTGAGAACACGAACACCAAGCTGTGTCTTTGTCTATCACTGGTGCACAAGCTTTGCAGCAGCCCAGGTGATGCTGAGCACACATGGACATGGCAATCGAAGTTGAGCAGTTGGCACCCAGTTTGCGTGCTTTGCTCACCATCTCCTGGAATAGGGACTCGATCAATATGCTGGCGGCACCCGACAGGTCCTCTGGGTCGATCTTCCCCTCAAAGGCAAACTCCAAGACAGACTGCTCAGCGTTGCCACCATCTGCCGGCGCGATCCAGAACAGGATCCGGGAGCCCACGATGCTGAAGCCCTCAAAAACGCCTGGCGTATGGAAGGTCACCACAGCAATATGATAGAACTCCTCCTGAGGATAGCATTGTGAAAATGTTAGCAGTGCCAGGTCCAAAGATGTTTGAGCGAAGTGGACACTGAAAGCAACACGCCAAAGTGCACTGCCAGGCACAAGAGCCTTTTGCCTGTCCTGGACACTAAAGGCAAGACAGCAGCGGTGGCGGTTTTCTTCAGTGCCATGTTCGCCACTTCGCGCAACTCTCGGGAAGGACAACAAGTCGCAGAGAGTTGAGCAGCTGCCTGGAGGGTAGTCGATTCGCGCTCACCTTGTTGGTTTCTACAACCTCAAATTGGACCATTTCCCCGGTGTTGAGGTCGACTATGAACTCACTCTCTCCGTCGAGTGGGCGGATGGTGAGGGCGAGGTTCCCAAAGCCACGGGCCAGAACTTGCCTGAAGGAACAACAGACAACTGCACTCATCTGCTGAACTCGGGCAGCAACTTCAAGACTGAACTGTAGGTTTGGCGCAGGTCATAGCGTCAAAGTCAGCCAAGACCAGAGAGTGCAACCAAAACCACAGGGCTCCACGAGAGTTCTAATCTGGGCAGCTCGCAAGGGGTATTCGCGTCGTGGTCACGCGGATCGCAGCTCCGTGCATTTGATTGTGGACAAATGCCAGCGACGAGCGCTGAACGAACAACGGTGTCCCGGAATAGGGCAGATGGAACCCGTTGGTAGGGCTGTGGCCAGTGCCCACTCCAACGCTGTGGCGGGATACCAGGGCACGGGGCAATGTAGCGAGTTCGTGGGCCTCACTGAGGACATCCCACGCTGTACCGCATCACGCAGCGCGGGCGGATGGTGAACCAAGGTGGATGGTGAACCAGGAAGCCTCGGCCCTGCCAACGGCAAGGATGGGCGCGAAATACATGGGCAGCAGCACCGGGAGCAGGAGTTTCTCAAACCGATGCAAAACGTCCCCCCCATCCCCGTGCGCATCCAACCCTTTTGCCCTTTGCGCGCCCACTGCGTGAGAGTTCATCGTTGCGAACCCGCGTTCCTTGCAAGTCATCGTCCCTCAACCCACCCATAGTCCTCCAGGATGTTCCATATGTCTTGGCCCTTCATGTTCACAGCCGCCTCCACAACGGGATCCCAGTCGCCCTCCGGCCGCAGCGCGTCCCGGTTGTCGAGACCGCCCGACACCACGCACAGATCAATGTTGGTGTCCGTTCCCTGCACGTCGAACGGCACGCCACCCACTACCGCCGTGACGCTGCCGCCCACCGACGTGAGCGTCGTGGATGAGCTGCTGGTGGTGACGCCGCCCACCGACGTGGATGTCTTCACAGTCGTCGTGCTGTTCACGTCTCCGGCGCCAGTCACTGTGCTGGTGATCTCCGTCGAGGTTCCGCCTTCCTCGCACGCCAGGCGCACCGTCTGCGAGTCGCTGAGGCTCGTGATCGTCTGAGAGGCCGCTTGCGCGGCTAGGAGGGCAAGGAGGGCTGCCACGAAGGCGTGCCGCAGCCGCGCCGGCCTTGCCATGGCTGCCAGGCCGATGTGGGACTCTGCCTGCAAAAACAGCCGATGGGTCTATCATTGGGGCATGGAAACACATGCAAGGACATGTTCCGGGGGCAAGGTGGTGCAGGGCAGAGTGAGGGGTTGTCGGCTGTTAGCGCGTCCGCGCCTTGCTGGGAAGGTGTGAGCTACGTCCGCTGACACGTGCCGCGGGAGACTGGCGTCACGGGTGGCCGACAAGCGAAATCAGCCGATTCTTCAGCCAGACATTCCCCCACACGGCAAGAGAGTGCACGGCCCCTGCTCAAGTTCTTCCAAGCGGGGGCTTTTTACCAAGGCCTCCCGCGGCAAGCGACCACCAACCGCTCAACGATCGTGACCATCCTACGACTATCGCGCTGCCCGTACACGAATTGAGCTCGCGCATCCCGTTTTCAGTAGCAATCACCCCAGCCAGCACGCCCGAGGTGCAATCGACCCAATGCTGCCCCCCTCCCCCCAGCGCAAAGACCCCGAGGCCGCACCCCTGACGGACAAGGCGCTCCTCACCTCGTGGCCGCTTGCAAACTCGTGACGCAGCGGCAGCCTTGCTGAAGCGTGTCACGAGGCGCTGTGCGGCGCGTGACCACCTCGGTGTTCTCGCTTGTGTCGCTGTGGAGGCGCGGGGGGAACACCGAGGGCGTGGCGTTTTCGTACGGAGGGGGCGCAGGCTGCTTAAGTGTGGGCAGGGGAGCAGTACCCTTGGATGCCATGGACACACTTCTCGCAGTGGGTAACAGAGAAGTTCCTCAGCCAAGGGGCCCAGCCGCGCGAAGATCAGTGTCAGGCCACCGTGCTGATGTGTGTGCCGCGGCGCGGCCCAATGTTGCCCGGGTCCGAAGCAATTTCGCATTGCAACACCACATAATGGGCTGCCAGCCGGCCTGGCAGCGTCCAGGTCGCACAATCGAGGGGCACTGCGGAAGGGCCGCAGCTCGACCCACTGACGTATGCCATTGATTTGTCCAGTGCGGGGCAAGGAGGTAGCCGTTAGCTTCCTACTTTGCCCGAGCAGAGCGGTGGTCATGATCTGTTCATTGACATCGGATGCATTACCGCAATCAGAAGTATTTGCCGATGACAATACATGGAGACAAGTGTTTTGGCCAGTTGGCGAGAGTGGGTTGAAGCAAATAAGTGTTCGCGCATTGCAATGTCGAAAAAGTCTTAATTGATTTCGATGAATGTCAACTTAGGCACGGAAATGAAAGTGAGAATGTATCTCGTCGTCTGGTCCAGCAGCAGGGACACAAGCAGGCATGAATTGTTGTGGGCAGCGCGTTCATCAGTCGTTAAGGATTCTGAATCAGCAGGTGGTCTTTCCAAAATCAGCGCACTTAGAAGCTTGAGCACCTGGCAGCTCTCGTCGGCTTCGCTTGCATCAATCCTTGGATGTTGATGTCCTGGCCCCTGCCAACCCACGCCACTATGTACAGTACATCACTGCTTTGATTTTGTCCACGAGGATAAAATACTGCACGCAGGGCAATGTTGCTGAAAAGACTGTTGATGGCTGTGGCCCACCGTACCGACGTTGTTTGGGTACACCCCATGCCGGTCTCTTCTACATCGGGCCAACGATGTTTTATTAAGTGTGATGCGAGGCCATACCCTCGAATGGGGGCGTCGCTGTCTGCCATGACATAATGCAATAAACGCGTGAAGGGCGCGTGCTACTTCGAATTTCCGCATTGCGACTGCCCTCTCTCCCTTCAACGCACATTTGTCCAGTTCCTGCGGCCACCAAGGTCTGCCAGCCTTACGATTTTGGATCCCACGCAGACCTCACCGCCTGGTGCTGCGGAGTACTGTTGCACAGCCCGAAGGAAGGCAACCAGCATCCCGAGCCGAGGCACAGCAAGCAAAAACACGCGCCCGCTGACTCCGTCACACAGTTCCCAGGAATCGTCGAGGGAAATGTGGCGGTGCTGAAAGCACATTCCAAGTCACACGTTTTCGCACCCGGGTACATGCCGCGTACTGCGTGGCCAACTCGCCTTGACGTGCGCCAAAGATTTGGAAACAATGTAGGCACAGTTCGCGACCAGAGCACCAGGCGGTTCGCAAACACTGTTTGGGGTGACGAGGCCAGCTGCCGAGGGTCCACGGTGCAGCAGAGATTCACGAGCTGTGCAAAACTGCAGCTCGGGCCTGGAGCCTGCTGTGCTCCCCCATGAACATGACTGTCGCCTGCAGCTTTTTCAAGCTCAACGAGAAATTGCAAAAGAGCAGCGCACAAGGACATGGGGCCAAACCGGCGGTGTGCACCAGTGGGCCACGACCCCTTAAGGCTCAAGCGGACGTCTCATGCCGTCGTGTGGAAGTTTCAGTGACTCTGGAGGCTTGATGGTGTTTCCCATCTGATAAACTGCAGTTTGCTTTCTTTCCCGTCGATGTTCCACATGACCATGGCGACCTGGTGCCCTACGCGCTTGAGCACCAGCTGTCGTGCATCCCCAATGCGGCTGCATCGCAAAACCGCCGTGGCATTCGTCGTTGATTTGAAGTTGCGTTTTCAAGGCAGATGTCCTATCAGGCACGTGTGCATCTATTTGTATGTTTGTTCCCCAACAGCACTTTCCCCTAAACCCACCCAAACCGCACTTTGCCATAACAGTGGCAAGCACCAGTGGACTGCCCTGAGCTGGACATGGCCCACGAAGGGTGAGGGTTCCGAAGACTATTGTATTGGATCGATACCCACAACCTCTGATCGAAAATGCTTCAACTTTCCAGCAGCTGCACTTCATGGGGCTAAACCACGGGAGCTTCGTGGCTGCTGAACATTTTCGCTGCAAGTGCATTCACACAAACATGCGCCCACACAAACCAGGTCGCTGTCCGCCATGGAGGGGAATGCATGCTACAGCTGAGCCGACCAACTCCCAAGTGAAAGGAAACAAGAAATGGTGTTGAACCAGTGTACCGCCTCACTGTCGCAATTTTCCTGTCAAGGGACAACGGCAGACCACAGCACTGACTGGGTCACATTGCCAATTAAATAGTGCACTGCATCCTTACAGTGTCTGGACATCCCCTTTTGGGGAGAAGATCAGTCAGAGTTCGCCAGGGTCTTCCAGGACAAGGGCGTCCCAACGTGCACGTGATTACATAGTGCCACCACAAACAATTCCACCTACTAGTAGAAATTCCCTGACTAGAATGCCTGACCAGGGGCCGTCATCTCCGTGCATGGCTTGGCATCTCGTACTCTTCCTCGTACTCCAACTCCACATGTGGCCGGCGCTTCTTCTTTCCCGCTTTCCTGCAACAGCCAACACATGATTGTCACAACATCACTTGAGGGCGCAAGGGCAGTTCTTGGTTGCTAAATTTGACAAATGCAGTTGAAGGATTAACAACATTTGTCTGTCAATGCCCAGAGAGCAGTGCCCATCAGGCGTCTGGAGCTTGCAACTGAGAAAAATGAACAAGGACATAGCTTCCAGCGAGTTCACAACGAGCTGGTTTCCTACTTTTCCTTGGTTCTTGAGTAACAATGGAGTGTAAGCACTTCTGGGCCCCAGGCGTTCCCAGCGCCATTCAAGACGTGCACAGTATTCAAAATAAATGGGCCAGAAAACTGAGTTCAGTAAGTTTCTGCAACAGGCTGTCAGTATTCCAGGTGTAAGTCTGGGCAGGTGTACCAGGACAAGTAGAGAGGAGCTACACATGTTGGGGACTACCACAACATATTGTGCATGGAAATTTTCCCACACCATCTTACTCTGGCCCATTGGAAGACATTTTCCTTCTGTTTCACCACAGACTTCACAGCAGAAAAACACAAACTTCAGAGATCACTTGACTCTTCAGCACATGACTTCAGTGGTCTTATAGAAACATGCTCAGGATATTTAACCCAGCAGATGGATAGAAACTGTTGTGGCAACTGCTCTGTGCATTTCTACTGTCTTCAGTGACGTGCACAACTTTTACAATATGGAAAGCAGCTGCATATCCACTGTTGAGAAACCTTTACCCTGCCTGCTGCAGTTTGTAAGTATAAGTGGCATGCTAATGAGCATGGCATTGCTACCAGCAGCAATGGTCTGCCAGGCATTCCGGGTACCGTGGACATTGACACACAAGAAAATGCTGTAAGTAGTCGGTCTTTTCCACCATCAATCTGTTTTCGCTTTCGATGGCCAAAGAAACAGTACCATGCATCACCAAGGACCTAACATTGACTGAGCTTCCATACACATTCTATTTCATTCTCTTCTCTCACCTTGGTGTTGAAGCCAACTTCCTCTTACTACCTCCCTGTCCTTCAGAGGGCTCCTCGTCTGCCCACAAGCAACACAGTATCCAGTCAGCTGCAGAGCACTTGGATTGGAACACAGCCATGCACGTTGCACTGGTCACCCCATTCGCCTTTCTCGTGTGCAACATCTGTCAATTCTTTACTGCTGATGCCACTCCAAGCAAAAGACTGTCTCTCTTTCCATCAGTTGGAATGAGGTCATCACCTTTGCCAGATACAAACATAAGAGCACACCAACGTGAACATGAATGCAAACAACGAACAGAATTCAGCTGTCACAGACAATAGCTATGACCAGCACACAACATTCTGGCCAATCAACCCTGCTAGGTCAGCACTGAATATAGAACTGTGTGGCCTCATGGCCCATTTACCTGCACCCTACATACTCAACTTTGGAAACTGTTGCCCAAGGCCAAGTACGTAGTTTGGCAACTGTGACAGGCATGGATGAAAACAAAGAAAGTAGAGCCTGCCCAGTCTGCACAAGCTACCAACTTGCCTAAATGCAAAATACCAATTTCGCGCCTTTGGCAGTTAAAAAAGTTGTTCAGTGTGCACGCTACCTGCTGCGTGCACGTCACACACAACACTTCGACTGTCCAACTTGTATGCTTTGTTGTGGTAAGTGCCCCTTAAATGAGCTGACTGAGCCTTGACTCATTCACTTGACTGAGCTGCTGAGCCAACATTGTCAAAACACGAAAGGCCAATCTATGCACTGTGGCCCCAGCAGCAACAATGGGCATTTTTCATATCCACACTTACATTGGTGCAAATAGGTGGACAGATACAAACTGCCAAGCTGCAAGGCACCTCTCACACTGTCTTTCTTCATATTTGGCCTCCCTCATCTGGCTATGCTGGTGATTCGTACCATGGCTGCTTCCAATTGTGACAGTTGTTTTCATACCTGACGAGGATGGTTCACCGTCATCTTCACCAACATCACCATCATCCCCACACCGCATATCCTCGATGTCGTCTTCACTCAGCTCCACGTCCGACACATAATCCACCTCCTAATAAGCACAGTGGCACTTCTCAACAAAGAGAACAGTGTTAACAAAGGTGTCCATTAGCCATTGCAACACACACTGCTGAACATAGCTCATCCAGACAAAAAGACAAAGCAACTTCATACCAAGACCACAAAACTACCAGCATTCGCCCAATTAAGACAATGGCAGTGAATCACCATATTCCACAGTTCATCAGCGTAGACTTATGCTCACAGGGCCAGGCACAGCACCATCGCGAACCGTCATTGAGCAACTGAGTCTGAAGAGTACATGTTACCCAGCTCTGGTCAACTCCACACCGCACTTGAAGAAGCATGAAGATTGCCCTGTTTCATCTCAGCTGCGGACCCTTCAACCCAACAAGGGCTTGAAGCCCAGCTTTGAATTACAATAACTGTGCAATATCTCAAGAAAGAGACTGTATTTGTACACATTCTTCTGAATAAGCGATCTTTAAATAGTGACTGCCATGCACACTACAATTTAGCCCCTACATATCACAATGCCATGGTGCATCCATAATTCTTGCTGACCAATACTAGAAAGGATCGTTGCCAGAAACTGCACAACAGGGACTGAAATAAACCCTGCCCATTATCCCACTGTCTCTCACCACATACCAACAATACAGTGTACCGAGTGACACGACATTGCACAGTGTGGCCAATACTCTGGCATGCATACCCTCGCCAACCCAAATTTCGCCATTTCTGATCGCCTTCACTTGGCCACCGCCTCACCTGCTCCTCCTCCTCTTCCTCTTCTTCAAGCTCGTCTTCTTCCTCTTCTTCATCCTCATCCTCATCTTCGCTCAGGCCCTCTACATATTCCTCAATTTCGTCCTCTTCCTGCTTGGTTCTCTTCAGCTCCCTCTCCAAAGCCTATGCTCAAGACACTTTCAGAATCGTTGCAGCCCCCCAGCACCATACGTACTTGCTTAATCAACAACACGAATTTGTGAACTCCAAGCAATCAACGAAAAACCTTTGGATGTCAGCAGTGCAACTTGCAACAATCCATTCAGCAGCCATATGCAATCCATTCACAAGCCGCTTTGTTCCAAGGAACGATACAGCATCAGCTGGCAGTGTATGGAAAGCTGCACAAAGCATTCTATCAAATAGCATTTCCTTCAATGAACCAGATCTGAACCACGAGGTGGAGGTTGCTAGTCACAAGATACACAAACAAGCTTGCTAAAGTCATCACAGCCAAAATTGAAGGGAAAAGTGCTTACAAACTGCAGTTCACAGATGGCGGCCTGGCACCCTAACAACCTATGTTCTATGTTGGCATGACACCTGCTCTGCAGATGTCTGCCATTAGGCACATGAAGGTGTTCAGAAACTGAATCGTCACCATCACTGTGCAGAAGCACACCTTGTTGCTTCTCGTCTCTGTCCACTAGAACAAAGATAGTGACAAGTTCGATGTACTCTGATTGCTGATCTGCCAGGGCCCCCCTGATGGGACGGGGGAGCCACCTGGACATTGAAATGGCATGCAATATTTTGGAACAGAAAGAAACACACCTTGTTGTACTGCTCCATCGGGAAGTTATAGATGTCTCCATAAGTCCCAGTCTTCAGGCGGTTCAAAAGTTCATTCTCAATTGCATTGTCCACCCTTGCAACCACCTCAGCTCTTGCCTCACGTTTTCGTTCCACCTTTTCTTCCCTGACGAAAAACACAAGAAGATGCAAATCGTTTGGCACCAACATTGCAGGCACATCCGATTGTCATAAACATTGCAGGCAAAGCGGCATGAGGAAGTCATGCCTGCACTTAACATTTCTAGCAAGTGCCTGTCGCTGCTTGTAAGGTACAAGGCCATTCTTTCGTCCTCTTTCGGGACATGAGTAGATTTCGCAAGATGGAGCACATGGCAGGTTAACATGAATCCAGCTCGCTTGCTGGGTTAAGGTAGATTTAAAGTTTGTATCTTCTAATCTACCAGAACCTCTGGACTTAAAATCTCGCTTTCATTGCAGCTATGAACAAGGCGAACCACTGTCCATGTGACCTGCAGGTGACGGCAGGCACTTTTCACATCTGCAACTGTTTGTTTCAGGAGACATGTACATCTTGAGTGAACCATACAGCATCCATACCATCTACCTTGAAGGGTCTTCAAAATGGCTGCTGGGCAGAGGGACTTCAATATTGTGGCAAGTGAAGTCCATAAACTACAAGGCACTATGTGGCAAGACATTAATGAGTGAACAACAGTACAGCAGTACTTCCTGATAAAGTCTATTAAGCCCTGCAACATTTTGAGACTTAATGGCTGCATTACAAGTGGTTTCTTCCTCGGCTTCTTGACAAATGAGTGCCACCCAGTTATCTTTACCACTTGGCATCACAGAACATCAGGGCCTGACTGGTGCAGTCAAGCCCAGTCAGGCTCCAGACTCTCTCTGACTTGAATTGTTTTAGGTTTGGGGCTTTGGCATTTTAAAAATATACTTGTAGGTGTAGGGTTCCAACTCTTCTTGTCTGACGCATAGTCAGGCCCTGACCCTTATTTACGTTCTTGATGGGTACACATTACGTTGGAAGGAATCAGCTGCCATGGGTGGTGGTGGGCACAATTCAAAGGAGAGGCAGCCCAGACATCGCGCACAGAGACAATGTCCTTCAGGACGATTGCAAAGTATCTTGTTGATCACTTTCCAACAGTGACAGTAACACCACACCCGATGGCACACATACTAGCACACGTATGTCAAGTTGCTGGAGCTTGTGTGCATTTGTTGGACAAATCCCTTTGTTGGCATTTCTCCTGAAGAGACTCACTTTCGAAGAGCCTCAATCTATAAACTGGAGTGGCTGAATGAAAGCGGGGAAAATGTTGTGTTGCCAAGTTGAAAGTTCTTATATATTACTGTATTTGCTGTAGGCACTTTCACCCTGACATGTTCAATGCAACAGTCCTCAAGCCTGATGGACATGGAGTTTGGCATGTGCACACCACACACTGCAAGGGCTATTGTGCCTTGTACACATGCAAGGCTCAAAATCCCCATGCATGTTTTATAGCTATGCAGTATGTTGTGTATTCTCACGCTGGAACATCACTGCTAGCGTGAAACGGCGTCTCACCATCTTTCTGTCTGGGAGCAGGGTATCCATTGGCTGGCATGCTTCTGTTTCTAAGCACTATGAATTTGTTGGTTGGGCACCAGCCACCTGAAGACCCTAAAGAGAATCAAGATGACCACACTCACATAATTGGGGTGCACATTGTATGACCAAGCTGGTTTCTGTTCAACATCCAATTCCAAACACTCACATTCTCTTGATAGGCACCAGCTTGGGCCTGGGTCTCGCCACTAGCCGCTTCATCCGAATGAGGTACTGTGTGATCTTTGTCAGACGTTGCTTGTTCTTATGTATGAGGTTCTCCGGCCAGTACTTCAGCCGCTCATCGATCTGGTCCAGGGCCTTCATGTAGTTGTTGCTGAGCTTGACCCTCTCCCACAGTCTGGAGGGCATGTGGGCACGTTCGATAGACTTCATGTATAGGTAGCACAAGCCCTCCTCTTCCTTGATGGGAGCAAACTTCTCTTTAAGTTTTCATTGACCACATGGGACAACAGTGCCCATACATCCCTTCAGGACGATGATGTGCACACTTGACTCACAAGTGTTCCCAGAATGTGTGACTTGCCTTGCTGGCAATTTCCACTGCGACAGCAATCGCTAGAGTTTTGGTACGGCAGTTAACCAAATGGTAAATTCTCATGCATTTAAATACACGGCAGATGTTGCACCTTGTGCAGTATCTTGGGCTCCATTTATATATTTCTGAGAAGTACTCTGGTGTTATTCGATGATGCGGGTTTGGCCGTCCAATAGCAATTTTTGCTATCTAGACCATCCAATCTGATGCTATTCCATATAACAGTTCAGCAGTGACAGGTGACATTACCATGGCACCTTGCCACATAGCATGTAGCTGTGATTCATCGAAAGGCTCAACGAGGCATGGCCAACACAGTTCTGTGCAATGAAAAGGCTCACCTTGATGGTTGCATAACGCGAGTTGGCCAAGGGACAAGATGATTTGTTGCACAAACCACTGACATTATCCTCATTTCGGCAAAACTTCTGTGTCTGGGTCTTTACCAGGAAAGAGCATTTGCCTTTGCTGATGATCTGTGATCGCAAGCAAGCCAACAGCTTAAGACCTCTTTTGCATTAATTCCTACTAAGTCTTGCATGTGGATGATTGCAGGACTGTGTGATTTGCTAATTTTGCTTCAACAACTATAATCAAATCCAACATTACACTGCCCTTGCACCATGATGGTGACAACCAGCAGTTTTCACAGCTTCAACATCTGTCCAAGAATGCTGTCTCCTTAAACTTCAGCCACATCCTATACTACACTGCCCTTGCACCTTGATGGTGACAACCAGCAGTTTGTACAGAGTCAAAATCTATCCACAGACCAAACTAAATCCTGATGTACTGCCTGTTAAATTGTTACACACTGTGCGCATGAGTCCATCAAGACTCTATTGAGCAACAAGTCTGTTGCAAGTACAAAGTCAGAATATGCTTACTACTGTTCGAGCAGTATGCTATGAATATGGTGACAACAAGTTAGCAAAATGCAGAAGATTGTGCAAAATGGTTTTACTTGCATAAAGCAATGGGAACAGGGCATCTGATACCATCGTAAAACACGTTTGGAAAGCACATACAACTATGGAATCTTAAAGCTTCCTTCCTGGCAGTAACTCACTACGATGCACTCCTATCACGATGTTGAGATGCTGTGCGCTGCACAGTTTCTTGAGCAGTGAAGCAGGTGCAGCAGTAGCTACACATCACTAGATGCCAACAGTAATTGCGTTTCAACGATGCACAACAAGACCCAAGGAGCCCTAATAAGGGCACCATGGAACGCAATGTCGACAATATAGCAGGGCACTGTTATGATGCTTAAGCACTGTCTAGCTTCTGGATGGCTATTCACCGCCCCTAGCATTGGGCATTATCTCTGTTCCCGGCAGGTTTGGAACAATGGCCATATACTTGCAGGGTGGGTCGCAGGTATGGGAACCTGGTGCAAGCAGCACAATTGATTGCATTGCAATCTAAAGGCATGCCAGATACAAACACTGAGTTGATCACCAGCACACATGTACAGGAAGCAGAAACAATGATGGAAGCCACATGCCACTTCATGCACCACACAAGCCAACTGAACTCATATTGTTTATGCTAATCAGCTAGAAAAACTACAAAAAGCACCGTGACAATAACGGACTGCGTGGCTGTAAAGGCCCCCTCCCACGTCAGTGGGCCAGCTCTGTTGTTTGAGACCTTAAACAACACCAGAATTCAGCCAACGAGGCCCTTTGCCAATTGCAGTTTAGGGACGCAGCGAGGATTAGAGCTCTGTTTGCCGGGGACCTTGTACCGGTGAGGCAACAAGCACATTGTACTTAAAAATTGGCACGATTGTGCTTGCAAAGGTGGATCACGCAACTTCTGAATAACCGACATAGTTCTGTCAACTGGAAAGACAACGCTTCTTGCACCAAAGAGCAGCGCTTCGCAGACATGCTCTTCTGCTTGAAATGCGCTTGTGCCCCAGCAGCTGCGATAGCCTCTACCTGCTGCAATAGCATTGCTGTGAACGCAGAGGCTACTGCAGCAGTCCCACAATACAGTTGCGCTACAGCGGCACAGACAGTAAGTGCCTGGCATTTCCATGCGCGCCTCAGAGATTTCAATCCAATTTTCACTACCCATGCGATATTGGTATTTTGCCGTGTGCTGACTGCGTTGCGCCTGTTTTCGTCGCAATCAACTCATTGGTCCCCAACATGCGCCAACGGTCTGCGGCATCAGCCATGTTCGCGATTGTTTGCAACCACCGGACGCACGCACGCACGCATTCGCCGCCATCAGAAGCGCGCTCTGCCCTCACCTCCCATATTAAACTGTCATGTTGCATCGCGGCCGCCGGCCAAGCCCGGTCCCGAAGGACCCGATTCCGCCTCCGGTTTGGGCCTCGCGAGCCAAGAGATCCTTTAAACAGGCAGGCAGCTTCGACACCAAAGCCGTATGCTGAATGGCCCTGTCGTGCAAGAGGTGGAGGGCGCCGAAGGGTACGGGCTCCGGTCTCCTGGACGCGCTGCAGACGGCGAGGTTGGCTGCACACCGTGCCTCTGCGCGGCCCCTGAATTTGAGAAGTTGTCCTAATTAGGTGGGGCGAGCTCCTCAAAGCTCTGCGGAGCGTGGAGGGCAGCACCAGAAATGTCCAGTACAGGCCAGCGCCTCCGTCAGTCAGTAAATCTACTATGCATCATAGCAGACAAGGTAAAGGTTTTGGAAAATGCTATAGTTCAGTACGCCATGACCGACAACTAACGTGGACCTCAAGACGCCCGCCAATTCCTTGTTGAACTTCTGCAACAAGTACGCATTTCTGCCATTGCATTGCGATATTACCGCATGAAGTGCCACCCGCTGTCACAAGGCGGTGTATTGCACTTCTGTACCGCCGAAGATCCAAGTGCCTGGGAAAACAATTTCTTCACACTTCTGCAATCACGAAACTTGGGCCTTCCCACTCGTCATGTGGCCCCAATGCCCGCACAACGCCTGGCATTTTCCTAAAACTGACCAACGCGTAGGCTCTGGAAACGTTGCAGGAAACCTTCACCCTCCCTGCCAGGAGCCCACAGAAATCTGTGTAACATAGTGTATTCAACCCTTCCGCATTTGGAAATTTCAGCGTCACTATCTTTCCTCCGCGTTAGAGAAGGCGCTACGTCGATTCTGTTACGCTTAGTGTCAATTTGACGCGAAGCTTAGACCCTCCACCCCACCCCCCCACCTCCCTCCTCAGCGTCAATACTTATGTCGAAGCAAGGATGACTCAGCTTCATTATGTGACAGTGATATGCAACTTCTAGGTGGTTTTCAGGACAAAAAGTAGCCAAAGTTGTGCTCATTTCAGTGGGTTGCGAATTGGGATGGTAAACGGAATTGTAGACGAGGCGGGCAGCCATAATTTTTGTAGATTCATCCATTTTAAGGCCATTTCTGAACACCGAACATTTGCAGGTGGTTTAGGAACAAGTCATGAGTTGTTTCCCGCTGATCCGCAGAGGTTATGGTATCTTCTCACCTGACGTCGACTTTGTTGGAGTTTAATTGCAATGTGATACATAATCTCTTAGTGTCACAGGTGTGCGCCCGCCCCCCCCCCCCGGCGCGTAAATTGGACGCTAAGCGTAACAAAATCGACATACTGCTATCCCTTATTCGGACAGGCCGTTATTGTTGGGGCTGCGCATCATGGGCACAGCCGCAATGGCGGCTCTACTAAGTTCGCATGCCCTCAGAAGCCGGTTTTCTGCTGCGGCGACTCATGCATCTGGGTCCGCTGGACGCCACGAGCGGTCCAGAGACGCTTGCGTTGCGGCTTGGGCTGCTCCACGTTTTCTTGGCACCGTTGCGTTTGTATCATTGCTTCCCATAAAAATGCAAAGCGTTATGTTAAAAAGCGGAAGTGTATTAAAAACAAAGGTATGCCCGCATACTATTATTTTTACTATTATAGTATTCCGGCTCAAAAGTTGTGTAAACAGAAACAGACCCCTGTGCACTGGGCACCCCTGGGCTGAATCCGCTCGCCTATCACGCAATCCCTGCCGTGAGAATTTTGATGGCGATGATGTCTTATCCGCCAAGCCTCTCAGATTACTACGGCACCCCTCCGTCGGGCCTCGGCTCCCAACTCCAAACTCATCGGGCCGGGTGGCGGCCCCCCTGCCCGTCCAGAGCTGCAATGCGCACACATGTACAGCCCCGCCCGTCCCACCGCCCCAACTCACTGGCATCGCTGACGAACGCATTTGTTGCACCGCCGGCGCGAGCGTCGCCAGAAAAGTTTGTTGCTGACCAGAGGCGGCCAGCAGAGCGCCGCGCCCCCCCAGGGGCGCCCAGGAGCCAGGCGCCGCAGAAGCGCCCGCCTCACTTCGGCTCCTCCGACCCGACGCAGGTAGGCTGTTGGGCGCCACGGCGGCCGACCTGGGCGCCGGCCCTCTTCGCGCATCAGGGCCCTGGCGCCGTGCTCACCCGTCGGCAGAACCACGCCCGCCTGCGGACCGCCTACCGGTGGCCAGCGCTGCTTACTTGCATGGGTTCCATTATTCGGGTCACTCGCTCACGCTGCTCTCCGCCTCAATCGTAGCCCTGCCAGTCGACGCAGGCTCGCAGCTCCCCCCTTGCCGATCAACTGTGCTCGGCGTGCCTGAGGCACCTGTTTCAGACCTGCGCAGGTGCTGACACGCTTTCCCCGGCCCCTTTCCCACCCGATGGTCTTCGTGGTTGTGGCATCCGGCCATTGCTGCCCGGCGCGACGCATGCACAACCCTGCTCTATAGCGCTGCGGGCCGTGTGACGGTTAAGGGGACGGGGCGAGGCGCCCAAAGACCTTCTGCCTGCCCGGGCCGCCATGTTGTGCCCTGTTCCTCTAGACCTCTGTATTGGGCCCGCCCCGCTGCCGGATCGGTGTTGAACGCGGCCCTCGCGACGGTGTGCGAAGGACGCCCGCCCGACGGCCTGCTCGTTGTAGAACGACATCCAAGCCCCGGAAAGGGGTGATCAGGTGAGGTTATCCAGTGTGCGGCTCCTTCGGTTGGTGCAGAGCCTCACGCTCGCTCGTCTCATTGTGGAGCGGGGCTGGCAATCAATCGCAGCGCCAACTGCCGCGTTTCGTCTACGGGCATGCACCCCGGAGAGAAGTTTGCGGGGCGGAGCAGGGGCCAGCCCTGCTTGTGTTCCCTATGATTGGGGCGAAAGTCGCGTGCCGTCGCGCCCGAGGCTACTGGGCGGATCCCTGACGTGGAAGCGACGACATGCCCTGCCGTGCACGGCGTTGTCCTGGCCCTGACACCGATTGGCTGCGCGTGCGCTTCAGGCAGTGCCGCCAATCGACGATTAGCCCATGACGGACTTCCACGAGGAGGCACGGCCTGGGGAATCTCGCCTTGAGCCGCGGCTCCGCGCGAGGGACGAAGAATGTGAGGAGTACCGCCAGGAGAAGCGACCCCGCCTCAGCCCTGGCGTTGATTGCTCCGACCCCCCGGGTGTCCTGTCGTCAGGTGACAGTGGTCTGCCTGAAATCGGCATGTCCAGTGCCTTGGCTTGCGTCTCCGAGCCGCTGCAGACGGGACTTGCTGCGGTGAGGGTGAACGAAGGCAACGGGTACGAGCTGCAAGTACTGGGACCCGACGCGGTGGCGCCTCCAGGCGGCGCCAGCCCCCACCCAATAAAAACGGAATACGAGTCTGGCGCAAATATCCCAAGCTCCGGGCTGGATAACGTCGCCAGCGCGGCGTTCGCACCCGGGCAGTTTGTTTCCGCGGGCCTCTTGGCGCCGCGGATGCACTCCATGACGCCGGTCGGGGCCCTACCCAGTGGCCAGGAAGGCTTGATGGGTGCGGAGGTTGAGGAATCCGCAAAGGTGCTGCAGCAGCTGCGGGGGGCGTTTCCTGCCGCCAGGCAAGGCGATGAACAAGGCGTCGGATCACCAATCGAGCGGATGGCTAAGCTGCGCCGACTTAAGTCAGTGGAGGCGGGGCAGGGGCTGGGAGGTGCAATGCCGCCTCCTGGGCCGCCCGAGGGTGGCGATCCGGCCGCGGAGCGCTCGGACAAGCTGCTGGAATCCTTGCAAGAGTTCGCGAGCTTCGTGCAGCAGGCGTGCCTCCCTGAGCATGCCAACCAGCCCACCGCATCCCAGGCCGCGCAGCTGGGGCCCCAGGCGATTGCCTCTCTGGTCACGACCCCCCAGGGTGCCCTCCAATTCCTCCCCGTCCAGACCGAAGGCAGCAAGGCGACTGACGCGCCCAGCCTAGGCGACTCCTTGGCCCTGCATGGCAGCTCACCGGCTCTGCACAGCATGGCAGAGACAGTGCAGAAGCTCTTTGTGTCGATGGCACCGGGGGGGGCGCCTAAGCCAGGCCTCTTCTTACCGCAGCCCACCATGCCGATGGGCATCTCCGGTCCGTTGCCCCCCATGCTGATGGACCCACAGCAGCGAACCCCAGGTGTGGGGGCGCACATTCTCCAGCCCAATAAGGCTATCCAACAGTGCCAGGCCATGACGGGTCCTGGGTTGCCTACAGGGGCCATACCCCAAGAATACTACTCCATCCCTGCAGTTCAGCTGCCTCAGGGCATGCGGACACCAGTATTGGTAGACCCCAGCGCGATGCTAACGCTGCTCGGGCAGCAACAAGGCCCAAAGGTGGTCATCCAGCCTGATGCGGGACGCGAGATGGTCCCAGGCCAGAAAGTGGCCATGGAAATCAGCACAGCAGGCCCCCTGTCAGTGCACAGCCTGACAGGACAGGACCCGCAAGCTCGGTGCCAGACGGTTCCAGGTGTGATGCAGTTTCCCCTAATGATGGGGCAGCAGGTGTACGCCCCAGGGCAACAGGGGATGGAGCCCGGCGCCCTTGCCTCTGTGCATCCGATGCTTCACATGGAGATGGGCCACGGCAGTGGCCTTGGCAGTGGCCTTGGTGGTGTGCCCGACATACACTCTGCTGCCCTGGGTGGTGAGCTGGGGCTACCCAGCAGTGGTGTGGGAATGCAGATGCTGCAGGAGGTGCCTGTTCGGCCTCAGGAGCCGCTTCCCAAGACAACAGTCAGGGGGCTGCTGCATGTGTTCAGCGATGACATGCGGTTCATCTTCTTCAGCTCGCAGAAAGCCCTGTTTGGGGACTCTGCATGGGTCCCCAGCGAGTTTCACTACACTGACCTGTCGGAAACAGAGAAGCACGGGTCGCCACTTGCACAGCGCTTCTTTGTGGAGTTGATTAACAGGATCAAGGGGAGCTGCTGTTGACTGATCTGCCAACACCGATCTGGCGATCAAGACAGGCAACGGTTTGCGGCAGAAATGTCGTTTATTGTTGGCGAGTTGGCTGCCATGACTCCCAATCGTCGACAGAGCAGGTCGTCCACCAGTGCTTGGGCCAAGGTGGTTGCTTGCATGCATCAATACCTACATCTTCAACTTTAGGAAACCTGGGCTGACAGCTACTTGATGTCCTCATGGGGCTGGGGTGCCTAAAGCAAGATGGCAATCAATCTTCTGGAACATAGAAGGGCTTGAACATGATGAGGATGACCTGGGCACTCATGGAACGCCACGAGCCATCCCCATGTGTATCCAGAATATGTATTCAAGAACTCAACCCACAGTGAACCATTGCGATGATTGAATTGTTAGACTTAGGGAGCAAGGGGTTGCGCACAGGCTGCCTGATTTTGTGCCTGTGTGCTTTTGCAACTCGTAGGATTGGGAGAAGGATAGATTTCAATACTGGTGGCGAATGGACTGATCTTATTCTTACACAATAATGATGACTAGGCTGCACGATCGTGTTGCGAAGCTCGTCGTTTGAGGTATGGGTGGATATGTGCATGGTTGTGCACCACTCCTTTAACACTATTCCTGAATCCACCCAGCTGTATGTGAGCCACACCTGCATCTGAACCTGTCCAGTGCATCTCCACAGATGTAGGAGGCATGGGCTGCCATCAGCTGCATCGGCTGCCGTAAGCTCCATCAACTGGGTCACTACTGATGCAACTTGGACCCATGCCGATGGACATTGCCTTGCGGTTGCAACAGTGATCTAATGGCAGTACTGTTGCTGGACAAGGAATCTCTCACCTTCCGCACCAGTAAGCATTCGTCACGAGTGTGTCAGCAAACCTGAGGCGACAGCCTTGACCTTGTATGCCATGATTATTGCCATCATGGGATTTTCTAGGCGAAGGTTGGACAATGACGTCCAACTGACGCTATGGACTGCTGGGCAGGTTGTTGGCTGTGGCTTATGTCAATAACTCATCTTCTATGGGAAGTGTGAGTTTGCAGGCGTCTGAACACTCCAAGCGCTCCGCACATGGGAAAGAAACAAAGGGAAATGAAATGGACGAGTCAGTTGAAAGACCGCAACTCTGTGACAAAGTCCCGCTCTATTGGTGTTTATCTTCCACCATAGTTTTTGCCCCAAGTGGATTGTTAATGCTGTGTGTTCTTGCGTTGATCAGGGCACCCAATGAAGTCCAGAGAATCCTAGCAGCGCGACGTGATTCTGGATGCATCAAATTGTAGTGTCCCACGTCCTTTCCTCTCAAACAAAACAAAATAACCCAGGCAAGAGCACTGCCAATGCTGAACATGTGCGAATGCAGTGTATCAATTCTCTTATGTTTTTGTGAACAGCGCCCAGCATCCCCTGGCACGTCCAAAGGTATGAATATGGCACACTTCAGTATATCTTCATCAGCACAAAGTAACCGATGATTTTCACTAACTTCGGCCTTAACATGGTCTCGGGAGTAGGAAACGATTTCAAGACGTGAAGACCAGACGAAAAATACCGAGGAGCCAACGAAACCCTGTACAATACTGGAAATCTTGGCTCCAGAAGCATGGGGAAAGTTCTGATGATTCACTCCGCTCAATCCCCGTTTCCAGAGTCTGTGCACCACAGCACCACATGGATTGTCGCTGGCGCTGCTGGCGATGGGACGGGGCAAAGGTGCTGCGGTCTCCAGCATGAACGGCGCCCTGCAGCCTTGCGAGCCGCCACTCTATCAGCGCCGGAATATGTCTTATGCAAGCGGCTGAACGTTGCCAAAGAAAGCTGGCAAAGCAAGGTGTGAGTCATGCCATCTCGACATGTGTGCCAGGTACCAAAGCTGCACTGAACATCAATCCCGTCAGTCTACAGTTTGCTTTCTTCAAAAATGAATGTGTGCACTGGATGCTGGAAGGCGAGACGTGCCTAATTGTTACAAACATGCAGTGTAGTTCATTCAAGTCAATTGGCAGCGTTGCTTTCTATCGAAGCTACATTGGGCAAATGCAGCAGGTGGCAGAACAAAATGATGGATGTACTTGGGACCCAGGACACAAGTCCAGCCAAAAGGTGATGCGTTTACGTGAAACGGCCGGCTGCTCCCACCCTTTGGGGCAATCAGCCGCGCTCACACCGGAAGTCCCAATCAAATCCCATTGGCACAAATACACTAATGTACAAAGAGAGAAATCCGGAACTCGGGCATGACAGTTTTGCCTTTTCGGTCTACATGTCCCTATTGCTCAGGCAACACGTGAAGTGCGTGTCCAAAGCGTCCAGCTGATGGCTTAGTTGGGCGACCTTCCAGACACCGGTTGCGTCTGTGCCCGCGAAATTGGCGTGCAGACGGTGCACGTCCAGATGGCCCACGCTTTGACGGGTGATGTGCTCAAGGCCAGTGGCGATGGAGCCGAAGAGCTGCCGGGCATTGCCTGAAAGGGCTGGATGCACGGTGATCTTCAAGAGGTGCGCAGTGAGGTCGACCAGCGCGGAGACGACAGGGGCCCAAGTGCGATATTCCAGGTAGAATCCGCTGCCTCCACCAAGCGCCTGACGAATCTTTTGTCCCTGCGCAGTGTCAGCGACGTCGAAAGCCTCGCCCCAGCGGCGTTGGCCGACAGGACCGGGCACAGGATTGAGATCCAAGCGCGGGATGTGCTCGTGTCTCGAGACCCGGAGGGCGTTGAGGCTCGCTGGAGGGCCTTCCGTACAGAATTCCTGGCACAGGCGTAGTAGATGGTCCGCTGCAGCTTGCTGCTCCGGCGTAAGATTAGCGGGGGCCTCCGGTTGCAGGTTCGCAGCGGCAAGGATCCTCTCGGTTCGATCTAGGCGTTGCAGCAGTTGTTGCAGATCCGCCATCGATGGGAACACCAACGAATTGTCGGCGGCCACAGCGCTCCAAGCGCTGTAGAGTTACACGCGTCTCCAACGCGCCCGAGTGCAGACCGTGTTGCCGTGAGGCAACAAAAAAGATGGCGCTCACTGGCGCGCCTCCACTTTTGGCTCCCCCGCCAGTGAGTCCAGAAACCAGAACACAAAATCCAGCTCCAAGTTGGTTGTCCAGTCACCAGTGAGCATCCCCGCGCCTGGTACTCCGTTACCGAGTTCAAATTATCCCATAGTATTTAAGAGAAGCGCCGTCTCCCATTCAGCCCGGTATGGCGCTTCCCACCCTGCGCCGTCCTGGACGTAAACGCTTTAACTACGCTAACGCTGTGACTCGTTTGGAGCTGACCCCGGGGGCATTGGTGGCTGTTTGGGTCGTCAACATGTACGATATGTTGATTACAATAGATTGAATATATCCACCTTCCAATCGTTCCAATTGTATTTGAAGTATCGCCAAGCTCAGGTCCAAACATTCCCAAAATTCGAGAAGTGGACAGCGGCACCCACGAACAGCAATGAAAGAGGCTCAGTCTCTTTTCTCGGCCATGTACAAGGAGCGTGCAAGGACAGCCCAGCAGCGATCAGTACCAGATACTCAAAACGGGCAAGATTCTGGAGAGATACAAGACAAATACAACACCGCCGCAGGATGAGAGGCTGCAAAATGGGGTAGAGTAGTGGGAGTCCCCGCACCGCCCTTCCGGACTTATGCGTTCGTTTTCGAGGGCTGCATCTGTATTCAGAAACTTGTCCAACCCTGCAGCACCCCTGAAGGAGTGAGCTCTGCATCAATGCACATAGATTGGAATGTGCTGGCTCTATGGCAGCGCGAAGCCATGGGTGCCGATGCCGTATGGTAGTTAAGGCTCAATCACACCAAACTGTTTCAGATGTTCTTCAGAAGATGTATGTGCCAGTAGAGTCCTCGAGGACGGCATGGATCCCCAAAGTGCAGAGTGTGCGTGTGGTGAAAAATATTATTCTATCACCATTATTTCTTTGAGAGAATTAATGGACACGCGGCCGGATAGAAATTTCTGGAAGGGTAGAGTCAGAGCGGCTTCCCTAGGGGGCGATTATGCACGTTTGTATTCCTAGAAGCAACAAATCCCCCTCACTAAAGGCCGCACATGGCAATTCTAGCCCACTGCGGGGGCATTGTCGATGTTTGGTAGCGCACAAGATGCATGCATGCAACACGGATCCCGAATTGGGACACTGTTGAAGCAGAGCCACACCAAACCACATAAGACTACAGCTGGGCGCCACACCCTTTTGAGATCACAGCCCGGATGCGGCACCCTTTGGGTGCACAATATTGTTGATCACATGGTTGAGATAGCACTAGCCACTGACCGCAGATGATCAACACTAGTGGAGTACTTAGATTGGCCGCAACAAGAGTCAACAGCTTGAATCGTAACAGCTGACTCAGCTTTTGTATCGACATCTCATTGCGAGCAGCGAGGTCCCAAAGAGGAGTAACAATGTTGTAGTGAAGCATTGGTGCTTCAGTGGCGCCATTAGCACATTAACATATAAGCTAAGCCAACTGTGAGGCAGTTTACAAAACGAACTGGATATGCTCGTATGCTTGGCTATTTCAAGAAAGCCTCAAACAAGCTGGGACTCTCCTTAAATTCCACAGAGTTTTCGGATCTGGATTTAATTGGTTTAGGTTTGGAGTGTTTAGAGTGAGTTCCTGAGCAACCTCTTTAGTTGTGGGATAGTCATAATTTCTGTGGGACAAAGGATTTGGACGCTTGGTTTTCAATAGCCCTGCATTGCATTTCTTGTGAATGGGCACCGTTGGTGGATCAGGAACATTTTCTCACTCTGTTTGTAACAATGGAATTTCAACAAAGTTTTCGGATTTCGAACACTATGAATATAATCACTGGCTAGGGTTCCAAATTCCACAACAACAATGCTCCTGGAAAAGACTCCAACATTCGACGCCAATCTATTGCTAACTCAACCGCAGCCATCCATCACAAAGCATGGCCAGCCGCTCTCGAAATCGTCAAAATTTCGCCAAAACGGCTTGCTGAACCGGTACGTGATGGCGCAGGCTTAGCCG